ACAACGACGCCAAACTCGAACTTCTGATCCTCATCAGGGGTGAGGGAGCCCTCGAGATCGGCGTACCACAAATCATTCAACTCTTCGTTGTAGTAGTCCACCAGGTGCATCTCTGTCTTGGTAATAGACAGCTCGTCAATGAGTTTTCGATGCTCGGCCTCGGGAGGCTCGTTGTATACTTTCCAAGTCATACCCGTGCTGCCGTCTGGCTTCGTAGTCTGGGTACCAAGAATGGGGAGGAATCGATGTGTCTGGGCTCCCACAGTGTAAATAGGGTCTAATCCCAACTTTTCTTTAATTCCATCATACGGGGTCACGGCATAGTATGCAGCGAGCGAGGCAGAACCACCGCCATGGTAAGTAGCGACTTTGGCGTTGGGGCCGATGACGAGAGTCTTTTTATCCTTCTTCAAGGGCAAGACATTGTTCTCGTTCTTGAGCAGGACGATACTTTCGTTTCCGATCCTCCGCAGAAGAGCAGCTGTCTCCGGAGTATCGCGCGGATTCTCCGGGCCATTCTCCTTGACACCCGAGGCGGCACACTTTTTGACAAAGTTGAGCACCTCGCGAGCACGAGCATCAATGACGTGGTGGAAAGGTTTCCCGGTGGAAACACTGAACTTGAGGGGCTCGCCTCGGAACCGGGGAGGTCCGGGCATTTCAAGGTCCAGGCCAGCCTTGACAGCACCGATGGTGCTGTAGGTGCCATACCAGTCACTCATGATCAGGCCCTCCCAGCCCCATTCCCCGCGCAGCAACTCCTGCAGATACTTGGGGTTCTCGCTGCAAAACGTTCCATTGACGGCGTTGTACGCTGTCATGAAGGCACCTGGCTGCGAGTCCCGCACAGCAAGCTGGAAGGGTAAGGCATAGATCTCACGAACAGCACGCTCGGTGGCGATAGCCTGGACACCCATCCGCTTGTCCTCCTGGTCGTTGCAGAGGAAGTGCTTGACGGTAGCTTGGACGCCCGTCTTTTGGATTCCTCGGACGAGGGCTGCGGCGCCCAGGCCAGCGAGGAAAGGGTCTTCGCCAATTGATTCAAACCCACGTCCGCCTAGGGGTGAACGCTGCATGTTGATCGTAGGGCCCAGAATTACGTGCGCACTCTTGGCCTTGGCTTCTTCGCCCATAGTCTCGCCAGCCTCCTCGAGCAGAGACTGGTTGAAGGTAGCGCCCAAGGCCGTGCCGCAGGGGAAGCAGGCGGCCGGGATGCCGTTGAAGAATCTGGTTCCTCGGACGCCATTGGGACCATCCGTCACCCGGATTGAGGGTACGCCATGGTCTGGCAGTGCTTTGGTATGCCAAAAGTCGATTCCTAGAAGTTGTTCGTCAATGGGCTGATCCGTTAAGATTGGGGCGTTGTAGGAACAAACCTGCCAGCAGGTCAATCTTCTCATTGATGGCCAGCTTCTTGAGCACCTCATCCACATCGAAGTCGGCCATACTGAAGAGCACTGGTAGTGTGTATCTCTAATGCTCTGATGATCACTGTCTGGATGCAGGAGAGGAAGGGGACCACAGAACTCTAGTATATTCTATTCTGAATTATCTAACGAGTATCGCCTGCATGAGCGAGGAGAGGGGCCGGAAGCAACATAAATACGTGCTCACCAACCGACCCTCAGTAGCTCAGCCCGTGGAGAGCTCATGCGATGGTGCCACAAGCGAATGAGGAATCAGGCTCATGTCGATTCTTCGGCCCGGAGATCCTCTGCTAGCCACTCTTCTGTTAACCGCACTTCAGCCGATGCAGGCCAAGAGTCCGACATTCAACCGACATATCCAGAGCTTTACCGAGAGTCATCCGTATTGGCAGCGAATCATCTCGCTGGACAGCTCGTCCCTCTCTCCACACGTTTCGTGGTGTCGGGACGATACTCCGGTGAGATGGCCTTCACACACCCTATGAGCATGCGTGAGGCAGAGACAGATTAGCTATGACAGGGGCGGCGTGTGGGGGATCTTCTCTTGGAAAATCAGGGAGTGGAGTTCCGGCGTGGAATGCCTGTGCCCAGGCCGAGGGACAGGAACAGGAGATACCGTGTTCTCTCATTGTGGACGGACTTGAGTGGAGTTGTTCATTACCTTCTTGGATACATGTATGCAATGGGCTACCCTTGTAACCACTGGGTCAGCTCTGCGATTGCGTCCCTGAACAGCAGATCGGCATATGCCAGGTGAAAGGTGAGCATGAACTGTGGCCGGAGCGGCCTGTCATACAAGGGATTGCAGACAATTGACTGGCTGTGAATATGGACCGTCGTCGGTTCATCAGCCGGCTGCTGATTTGAGCGAGGAGCTCTCACCACTGAGAAACGGTGAGCACCGGCAAAGACGACCTCATCGCTGCCAAAGGCGAAGTCAACATAGCTTTCAGTCGGCCCGTTGCCGCTGCGCTCAGCCAGTTTCTTGTCAGTGACTTGGAACACGCCAAACAAGACCGAGTGCAGGGGAGGGAGCTTATTGTCCTGCAAGTCTTTGGTTGACCACAGTCGCTGTCCCGTTGAGGGAGCATGCGCACCTGATTCTTGTCATCAGCTTCCAAGTTCCTACCCGCAGCAAAAGCCACTCTCACTTACTGGTGAATTTGACCAGATTCAGTCCCAAAGTTTGCAGCGTCAGTCGCTCAGGGCCAATGACAATGCCTCCGAAATACCCCTTGACAAATCTGGCCAGCAGGGCCTCATCAGGCTCATTCTGAAGATGCGCGGGGATCTCGACAGTGATGTGTCGTGAGTCACCCTGGTCCCGGTGGCCTTTGATGTTGACAATGTCCTTGATTGATCTAGACTGTCGGAATGCGTCTGGGGCGGTGTTCAGTATCGTTATTCGCTTACGATCAACTGCCTTGACACGCTGATGGACTAGAAACCCATACGTGCCTCCCAGCGCGATGGCGGTGACAAGTGATGTAGCGAGCAATTTGCTGGAAATACTACGTGCCATGATAGACTGCGATGTCAGCTAGATGAGATCAGTTGATAGAGAAATCGATGAATATGTCTCTGACGCTGATGGATCTTTAAAAAGCAAATGCCGTATCGGGAGAGCGCGTCTAACGAAAACCTCCGATTCCTCCCGTAGTCGCGGAGGGTTTCTAGTCCGTGCTGAAGCTTGCAGCATCACCAGGCCACGAATAGCGGAGCTCTGTACAGCGTTGAGTCGGCTTTGCTCTCTTCAGTCTCTCCGCGCTCTTTCAGCTGGTGGTTCTAGCTGCCTCAGTAACACGAATTACATTTTTGGCCCTCATATTTGGCATTTCGTAATGAAATAGCAAAGATGCACAAGAAATATTATGCATGCATCTCCATTTATCCTCGAGCGATAAGTGACCGCTTTGGTACAGGGTGGGCTGCCAACATTGATGGCTTTGCTTCCGACCAACCTTTTCATCTCCGCCTTATGCTCCCACCTGGAAATATCATCGCGTATCACGGCCTCTAAGAAGACAAGAATGACCGTTACTGACTAGGCTTCCACTTAATAGTTTCAGAAATCTCCGCCGCCTACCTATTTATGAGCACGATGCTTAGTAGTAGGCGGACTTCCGCCTGGGTACTTGATGATAATTCCACTCTATCCAGCATGTAGACATTTCGCCATTGACAAGAATACGTCCTTCTGGAACTATAAAAGCATGAGAAAGACATATAGGATAGGAATAGATAGAGACTTGAAATCCACAGCATTCTGCACTCATTCTAACCTTCCAAATTGTGACTCCTAAGTCCCCTGGCAACTCTAACACCATGATTTACACGACATACACACAGTTTTTCCCTCCAAAGCCAACTTTCACGGAGGAGAATCTCCCCTCCCAGAAAGGGAAGGTTTTCATCGTAACAGGCGGAAACTCGGGAATCGGGTATGAGTTGTGCAAGATTCTCTATGGCTCAGGGGCCACGATCTACATGGCAACTCGATCAGAGGTAGGTTCTCATGAACTTAGAAGTCCTCTCTCGGCCAATGACTAAACTAAAATTGCAAAGAAACGAGCCACAGAAGCTATTCAATCCATCACTCAATCGGCACCTTCGTCTCAGGGAACCCTCAAATTCATCCACCTTGATCTTGATGATCTGAATACCGTCAAAGCTGCAGCCGCAGCCTTCGCCGCCCAGGAATCCAAGCTGGATGTGTTATGGAACAATGCCGGTATATCCGCATTTCGGTTCGAACCTGATGCGAGAACCACACAGGGATTCGAACCCATGATGGGCATGCACTGCATCGCCACTCTGCTGTTCACCCAGCTTCTCAAGCCCCAGCTGCAGGCTGCCGTGAGAGCTTCACCGGGGTCGTCCGGCTCTGTGCGTGTCCTCTGGACGGCAAGCATCTCACTTGACGGGTCATCTCCGCCCAATGGAATCGAGTTTGATCTGCTCGAAACGGGAGGTAAGGATCCCACCCGGAACTACGGCGCTTCCAAAGCGGGATCCTGGATCCTGGCCCGTGAGATGGCGAGGAGATGGGGGGCCGATGGTATAACCGTCGCTTGCCTCAACCCCGGAAACGTCAAGTCCAACGGTTATACGGATGCCCCTAAGAGGGTCATGTTCTTGCTCAAAAGATTGCTCTCCGAGACCAAGTCTGGAGCCTACACCGAATTATTCGCAGGGCTGTCTCCGGATGTCAAGAACGGGGATTATGTGATTCCGTTTGGGAGGGTTCGTACAGACAAGGAGTGTCCTAGGCAGGACATTGTCAAGGCCATTACCCCCGAGGAGGAGGGTGGCCTGGGTTACTGTAAGAAGTTCTGGGATTGGTGCGAGGAGCAGTACAAGCCGTTCGTTTGAGTTTCATTTTGTACATTTAGAGATTTTGGTCCTTGCGAATTACTTTTGATATAGATAGTTTATTTTCCTTGTATCCTCGATTATCATTCCCGCCCTTTTATCCCACATTCTTTTAATACAATAATCAGAAACCATATTTCCAGCTCGGCAATATCCTCCAAAACGCCCAGATAGACCACCATTTTATCATGTTAAACGAATCTAGTGCCCAATGTTGGCGTTGCCTCTTGATCGTGGTGGCTCCGAAGGAGTGGCCTCCATGACTCTAGATGGCGACGGGCCCTCCTCACTGTCCGACTGGGAGCCCTTGGCCCCCTTTTCCTCCATGTACAAGTCATAGAGGCCGTCAGTGCCGACATGATCAAATCTATATCTCCAGCCGGACCCGACGGCATGCACTCCTCGATCGCTGGTCATCGCCCTGAAGATCTGAGCCTCACTTATCGGTCCCCCATCAGGCACGATCACACGCTCAGCAACCAGCGTCACGCCGATGGCCAGGATCAACTGCAGGCCGGCGGTGAGTGCAAAGGTCATGTGTATCAGGTTCCAGTGCTCCACGCCCAGCTTCTGCCCGATCTGCGGCGCTCTGCCTTCCAGGGCGATGCCCGAGTTGGACTCTGCGGCCATGGCGATCACACCGATGGCGAACCGCGATAGCAGCCCTTCCATGGCCCGGGTCGAACCGTTAGCTGGCTTGCCGGGCATGGTGGCGGATGGGTAGACCTTGTATTGCAGGCTCTTCATGGGATCCATCTCCTGTTCTGTGCTGCCGGATGACGAGCTTGCGAAGCCCTGGAGGCCAATGGCCGTGGTGGCGAGGTAGGTCACATCCTCAGCGATCTCATGCTGCGGGAGAGTTGCGTTCTTCACGGGACCCTGCCAGGTGGTGCAGCTGTAGTACCAGGAGGCATCGGCAGAGACCTCAAACACGGACATGATCCGGCAGTTGGGCCCGCACTCCTGGTCGTACCTTGTCATGAAGGTGGATTGGTCTGATCCGGGCGTGGTGGGGAGGGTGATGACGGTGTCCTTGGACTCGGCAGTGATTGTGATGTTGGTCACGGTGCCGTTTGCTCCGCGGGTGACGGGGTAGCTGTTGCACCGGCTGGTGATTTCCACGCTGCGGTTGGTGGTGGACTGGACGGGGATGGCCCCTGGGTCGGCGGCGAGCTGGGCGTTTTTCTCGTGGAAGATGTAGGTGCATGATGGGGAGTTGTCGTCGCAGAATACAATGGGGTGGTCTTGGAACCAGAGATAGCCCTTGCTGGGGATCTGGTCGAGTGTTCCCTGGCTATACGCAAGAGCCATTGTCCCATAGCTGGTAGATATATGGATTAGAATCTTGTGAGAAGAACATGGCATATGCCGCGCGGTAGGTGAGAGGGCTGTATATCTTACGTGTTTGCTGTGTACTGCTGTGCGCCCAGGGAGTCGGATGATTTGATAATTCGGCCTGTTTCCAACTTGGACATATCGGGGATCAGGATTTGCCCCTTGACCAACATGGCTTTATCCTCGGTCTTCTCCACGCCAAAAGTCAAACCGACAGCACCTAAGAAGAAAACGTCAGTGAACGGTCCCGGAATATATAAGACGCTGCTTCGTCTGTTTGATAACCGTTGAACTTACTGTAGGCAACCTGCGATCCCTGTAGTATTACTTCGTGTAAGCAGATAATAATTCTCTTGCTGCTTCACTGATGACATACCACAATGAGAAGAAGCCAGATCAAGACCGAAATGTGAATCGAGATCCGCTTGGATCTGAAAGCGAGAAGGAAAATACTTGACATGCTGGTTGCATTCATTATGGCCTCAACCTATTATTGTGTTAACATCAAAGTCAGATAACTCTGTTGCTGTACTTGCCTTGTGAGCTGACCGATATCGTCGAGATAGAATCCACCACCGGACATCGTTGACCACGTTGTTCAGCTGGCTGACGGTAACTATACCGAGGGCGAGAGTGAACCCGACAAAGAGCGCGTAGAAGTACCGCTTCTCCGATCTGGTAATGAGGTCGGGCTTTGAGTATCCGATCAGAAGGATGTAGACGACGGCAACGAATAGGATAGTGACCATATATCTGGCGACGAGGTTTATCCATACTCGCTTTCGAGAGCGACGTCTAGCTGCAAGGCCACGGAATTGGTACTTCTGCGCTCCCTTTTCGAGGGGAATGGCACCGCCCTGGCCTGAAGATGGAGACTAATCAGTACGGTTGAATCTTCGACCCGGGTAGATTCGTTTTACACATCAAAGGAAAAGAATCGACTCCATAATTGAGTTTGCTTGATGACTTACTTTCCGTCCATCCTGACGTAGGACCATCTATGAGTGGCCTGAATTCGACGGATGTGGGCGACATGGATGTAGAGCTACCACGAGGGAGTCGGTTGTCGATCTAAGGACACGGATCTCGCTTCAATTCTGGCAAATTCAATGAGAGGCATGCAACTAGTCTAGTGAAAGAATAGAACCAAGGAAAGGGGAAGACGCTGGTAGATATCTACACGGCGAGGGCATGATCCAAGCTATTTCGCGCCATCAGCCTGGCGAGTCTCATATCGACCAGCAAGAGCCAGCACAGTCTTACTGCCCAGCCCTGGGCTCTTCTGTCAATCTCATTCCAAGTCATGCCAAGACGGAATACATGGCAGACGGTGAATTACGTACGAGCCAACAATCCCCCGAGCGATGCACGACCTGGCACCAGTCGGGGGCAGGATGGCCAGCCACATCTGATAGCCCGCCACAGCGTGAGGCGCATTCCTCCAGCTGTCCAACAGTAAGCGGGCATCAAATATGAGATGGGCAAATGGGCGGGTAGACAAAGGTCGCAGTGTTGCCGAGAACCGGCTTGGAATGCATCATCACCAACCAATGGCCCGGGTGTGATTATACGCCGCGGCCTGTCGCAGCAAGCAGCCAATTCCACCAGCCGCGCGGCCCGTCAGTCCAGGCCCGGGGCTGCATATTGCTCAATAATAGGGGCCGAAGCTGACAGATGGATTGAGGCAATAGCAGATGCAAATCTGCCTGGCGATCCTCATCCCGGGACCCTGACAGCCCTACCCGATAGCATATGCACCGCTTCGCCTTGGCGTGCAGGCACTTTTGCGCTTGTGAGTCAAAGCACATTGCTACACGTCCATGGACTGACCCACCAAAGGGCTGGACTCCCTGCATGTCGCAGCCAAGACTATTGGACGCGCAAGCTCTCGATATCCGCCGGCGTCAGGGGCAGACGTCCAAGTGGTGACGAGAAGTTCAAGCATTGGGCCGGGAGATGGCTGGAGATAAAGGCGGAAGCTAGTTCATTAACCATAAAAGCCACCTTAAACTGAAGCCTAGCCGAACCTTGCAGAATGGAGGTCTAGATCCCAAACTGCGAGGCTAACAGATTTGAGATATTGAGTCACAATTCTCTACGGGTTTATCTCGAAAGCTGAAGCAGTCCATTGGTATAGCTTACCGGACCTCCCAGCCTAGCCCAAGAGAAACGAGATATCTGGATGTTGGTACGGCTGATGTTCGTAGGCTTGAGCTATTGGATGTCAAAAGGTCTAGAGTCCCACGCCAAGCTCAGCTGCATAGTTTTTGAATGCAGCAGTGGGTTGATCAACTGCCGGTCCTTCCACGAATTGCCGCCTTAGATCTGGTATTTTTAGAATCTTAACACGCCCTTCTTAAATTTGAATGGTGATGCTGGACAAAGCCTTTGAGGAAGGCTTAGCTTGATGCAAGACCCAAAGAATAGATCTGACCGGCACCAAAATGAGTATTGCAACTTTCAGCAAGGGCGTTTGTTAGTGGTATGTGGCCATCATCAAGTCTGTCTAGTTAGCTGAAAGGGCTACTTCGGCATCAAGATAGGATTTCATAAATGCGAATTTGACCATGAAAGTGCAATAATCCTCTGTAGTTGCTCTTGCCAAGCACTGCTAAGTGCCTAATTAAAGACAGGGCTTTATTTATTTTTTCTTAGGGTTCCTGGGCCTGCTTGTCAGTACTTCGAGAAGGACACAGAAGAATGGACTGAAATAAGGAAGGCATCAACAATGCTGGCTGCACAGATAAAGCTCCCATTGATCACTTGGATTGGATGAGAGGATAAGACATGTGAGAGAATCTTTGTTTTCCAAATGTGAGTCAATGCACGCGAGCCAGATGGGCCAACTGGAGAGCTGGACTCAGCCAAGACATTGGGACGCGCAAGCTCATGAATTATCACCAAGCTCAGGGGAAGGGAGAGAGCTCGGAATAAGGGCAGCCGGGTCATTCATTCAAACATTAGGTACCAACTATAGTCGGAGGTACCGAGGCTCTTCTACCTACATGCCCATCATCTCTTCCTTCATGTCGTATCCATGCCAAATAATCATCCCATCTAAAAAAGTACGTAACAATAACACTCACTCCCTATGCGCCAGCACAACCCACATGCATCCATGTACGTGATAGATACCATTTGAAAGCCAAGAGACAAAACACACTCAATGACCAACCGAAACCAGCCACGTCAAGTAAGACAGCACAATTCTTTTTTAACTCATCACGGCTGTTGGCCTCCGCTGGCTTTGGCTGTTTGCTCCCTTGCCGGGTCTGCTTAGTGTGTACTTGGCAAATGCCCGGGCAAGCGCCTTCTTGCAGCTCAGCTTCTGGCTGCCGACAAAGCTGTCCACTGTTACGGCGATCGCTCGGTCGATGTCTTGGGCTGAACAGTAATCCGACAGTCTCATTTTGCAGAAGGATTCGCTAATACGGATGATGGCTTCCAGGTGACGCACCTAAGGACATGTGTTAGCAACCGGTATATGTTTCGGCAAGTCCACCAGCTAAATGGTCGGTCCGAAAGTCGGGGGAGGAGGGTAACTTACGGTAATGGGGTAGGCGCCCGTCGCGAGGGATTCTCTTCTCATATCGGAGAAGAGGCGTGCGATCTTGTCCTCATCCAGGTGGTACAGCTTAGGGTGGCATCGCTCTCTGGCATACAGGATGTACTTCCGCAGAAGTTGTTGTGGGATCTCACCCTCCTTGTTGCGTGCTGCTGCTCCGTTTGTTCCCTGAGTCTCTGCTTGCTCCGAGTCATGCTCAACTTCCATCGAGTCCTGTGTCATCTTGGACTGAGACTCGGGATGGCTACGGCTGTGGGATCCAACGATGAAACGAGCAAGGCGTTCATCCTCTGCTGGCTCTACCGTGTCTCGTACGACACACAGAATGTCGAAACGAGACAAAATGGGCTCTGTAAGTTCCACGTTGGCGGAGAAGGGTGCAGTCGAGTTGTATCGGCCTCCAATAGGGTTGGCTGCTGCGATAATACCGCAACGGGCCTGGAGAGTAGTAACAATACCGGCCTTGGAAATAGAAATGGTCTGCTGTTCCATGGCTTCGTGAATTGAGGTTCGATCCTGATCATTCATCTTGTCGAATTCGTCAATGAGACAAGTTCCCTGATCCGCAAGGACAAGAGCGCCTCCCTCCAGAGTCCATTCGCTTGTCAGAGGGTCTCGACGGACACTAGCCGTCAGACCGACTGCACTGGCACCTTGACCAGTTGCAAAAACGGCTCTGTGGGCAGTCTTTTCGACATATTTAAGCACCTGGGACTTGGCAGTTCCGGGATCACCAAGTAGAAGAACATTGATATCTCCACGGACATGATGGGAACCCCGAGTTGTCTTGGCCACACCACCGAAAAGAGACAGCGCAACAGCCGTCTTGATGTCTGTGTGGCCGTAAATGCTAGGTGCAATTGAATTGATCACCTTGTCAATAACGTTGGGATCACGAGAGAGCTTGCGGATCTCATGCTCGTCTTCCTCGGTTAGCCTGAAACCAGCCAGTTGGTCATGGGACTTCACGACGTTGTTGGCCTCCAAAATGGTTGCAAAGACGGGGAATCCATTGCGATTGTTGAGTTGAGCGTCGTAATTATTTCGGTAGATACCGGTCACTTCAATTTCCTCTCCAGGCTTGGCCTTGTCGATGAGATCCCACAAGAGGATAACATCTCTGTGGCGAGGGAGACGACCCGCAGGCACAGTGCCAGGGGACTCTTGAAGGGTAAGCTTCTGGTAGTTGCGGTAGACAGTCTTCTCCGAGTTGAGAGTGAAGGGTCCACGAGACTGACAGCTCTGGCAGTATGTAATCTTCACCTCCACATTCGACTCTTGTTGGAAGGGCCCGAGAGTGATACCGCACTTGCCACAGTCAAACTTGACGTATTTGAGCTGAGGGAAGACACCCGAACGGCGTGTAACAACTCCGCTCACACGGACCAAGCAGTTGAGGTGGGACTGGCGGAGTTGGCGCAAGGTGTAATGAACTGGCAGATCAAAGATGCGCACATGAATCTCGGAGTGGATGCGTTCGTAGTCGGGATAGTGCAGAAGAACGACATCCATAGCAACCTGATCAAAGAGCTTGATCATCTCGGAAGGAGCGTTTGCCAAAAAGTAGGCAAGAATTGCCTTGCTTTCTGACAGGTGCTCGTAGGAAACTTCCAAAGACTCGGCGTTGATTTCACCTAGACTACGGATGCGGTTTCCGTAGACGGACGAGCCAGAGGCATCAGTGTAGGATGTGAGGAACGCTCGGAACTCTCTCTTGATTGTTCGCTGGACTGATTGCTGGGATACCCATTCTGTGAGGTTGGACGCCTTTACATCGCCGAGGGCCTCAAGGGACAGCTCCTCGTCCATGATATCGGCATCCATGAGGTCATCTGGGTCCTCATCGTAGTGGTGACGGCGTCGACGGGGCTGAGCCGTCAGATCGATCTCTCCATCATCATCCTCGCCAGGGAGGAATGCAGCAGGAATTCTTTGTCTTCGAGCTACTTCTCGATCTCTCCTATTGAGCTGAGCCTCAAGCTGTCGCCTGGCGGCTGGGTCCATCTCTGCAAAGTCTCCATCATCATCGAGGTCGATGTCTTCATACCGATCGCCTTCTCGGTCATTGTAGTCAGCCTCGAAGCCTTCACGGAATAGGTCGACATCATCGTCGGCCATTTCATCAATATCATCAATGTCATCTTGAATCTCGGGCTCTTCGTCAAGATCCTCATCGTTATCATCGCCTCCATGGGCAATGTTGAACTCGGCTGGTGGTGACGAGGGCATGGGACTGGACCCTAGCCCAACTGAGGAAGCATCGCCATCGGCAGTTCTTGAGCGCTTTCGGTTCCCTCGTGCCTGGATTCCCCGATTGGCAGAGGAGGGGTTGTCGCGAAGAGGTGAACTGATGGGCGGTCAGCGTCATGGATTCAGGGAAACGGGTTCGGATATGCTCACCTCATGTTTGCTACCCCGCTATGGTTTGGAATC